CCGGTACCTGGGAAGGTGCAGAGAGAAGTGGCGTTGGGGCACAGGGTCCCGTTGCCCACTCGCGGAACGAGCTTCAGGCTGAGGATCTGCTGCAGGAGCCCGGCCGACGCCTCGCTGCCGCCGCTCCCCTCGTGCTCCATCCCGCCGCCATTCACCGCAGAGGGATGGGGCAGAGCGTCCGCAGTGTCGCTGTGGCTCGCTCTGACAGTCAGCTCTGCTCTCGGTTCATCCGCCGCCTCGGCGTCACCTTCGGCCAGGGCCCTCTTCCTCCTACTCCAACGGCGCTGTCGAGTGACGGTCCCTTCCTCCAATCAGAGCGCGCCGCAGATGGTGGGGGCGGGGCGAGAGTTGTTCCCGCCCCTCACGTTGCGTAAGGCTCACCGAGACACCGCACCCACGCAATACGCCCCCTAGTGGAAAGTCTCTCCTGCTCCAGCAGGGCGCGCGCGGCTTTGCCCTTGTCTGCAGCGCCACCTATAAGGAAGTAGGGGCATTCTATACGTCCCAGCTGACCAAGATGTAGATTTAAAACGGATCTGGCCATGAGAATAAGATGGTTGAGCAACAGCCCTGGCCGGTTTGTCTCAGTGGATAGAGCGTCGGCCTGCGGACTGAGGGGTCCCAGGTTCGATTTCGGTTAAGGGCATGTATCTTGGTTGCGGGTACACCCCCAGTAGGAGGTGTGCAGGAGGCAGCTGATCGATGTTTCTAATTCTCTGCCCCTTTCCCTTCCTCTCTGTAAAAAATCAATAAAATATACTTAAAAAACATTTTAAAAAAAGATGGTTCAGCAACAAAGTGAAGGAAGCTGGAAGACAATGCAGCAATAACTTCAATATTTTGAGGGGAAATGATTTTTTTTGAAAACTTAATTTACTTTAAATTGAAAAGCATTGTGTAGAAAATACATAGTATTTTCCTTTTATTCAAGATTATTAGCAAGATTGTTTATTAGAGTTCCCTCTTGATAGTATTTGTTTTGGAAACTGTTTTAAAACTATTTCTCCAACACTACAACTGGGATTTGGCCTCAAATCAAGAAATGTTTCTAGCTCTAACTGGTTTGGCTCAGTGGATAGAGCATCTGCCTGTGGACTGAAGGATCCCAGGTTGGATTCCAGTCAAGGGCACATGCTCTGGTTGTCGGCTTGACCCCCAGTAGGGGGCGTGCAGGAGGCAGCCAAACAATAATTCTCTCATTGATGTTTCTCTCTCCCTTCCTATCTGAAATCAATAAAAATGTATTTTTAAAAAACTTTTCTAAAACAAAAATAGTAAGTATAAAAAAGTCATGAAATATTTAAGAATGCTGTCTTTTGGTACATTTCCCAGACTAGCAGAATGCATAAGTGGAAGAAACCAATTACTTGAAGGTAATATAACAATCAATCATGTATGACATTAGAAAACGTTATCTTTTGCCGAAATCAGTTTGGCTCAGTGGATAGAGCGTCGGCCTGCAGACTGAAAGGTCCCAGGTTCGATTCCGGTCAAGGGCATGTACCTTGGTTGAGGGCACATCCCCACTAGGGGATGTGCAGGAGGCAGCTGGTCGATGTTTCTTTCTCGATGTTTCTTACTTTCTATCTCTCTCCCTTCCTCTCTGTAAAAAATCAATAAAATATATTTTAAAAAAAGAAAACGTTATCTTTTTTAAAAAATAATATTAAATTGATTTCAGAGAGAGAGAAAGGGGGAGGCGGAGTGAGAGCCAGACATGGATTGGCTGCTGCATGTGCCCTGACTGGGAATCCAATCGGCAACCTTTCCATGCACAGGATGATGCCCAACCAACTAAGCCACACTGTTCAGGGCAGAAATGTTATCTTGAACTTAAAATTCTATCCCCAAAGTGTGGATTGAGAAGTTTTTTTAAAAAAAGACATTTAGACTTTCAGGACTCAGAAAATGTATGTTTCATGTGCCCTTTCTAAAGGAGTTGAGTATATACTCCAGTGAAGTTAGAGTGATAACCAAGAAAGAGAAATATGTGCAATACAAGAAATGATAGACTTAACCAGGAGGGTTAAACTGACTTCTGTGCAGTAGTCCTAGCAGCCACCTAACCAGATTGGAACTGAAAGAAGAGTGTCCTCAGGAAGAATAATGTAACTGATTTCAAGCTATAGACAAACTAGTTAAGAAGCTCAGGCTTAAAAAAAAAAAAAAAGCTCAATTTTTGTTGTTAATCTCACCTAAGGATATTTTTCCTACTGATTTTTAGAGAGAGTGGAAGGAGAGAGAGGGAGGAAGGGAGGGACAGAGAGAGATGGATCAGCTTGCCTCCTCCACACCCCTTACCAGGGATGGGGCCCACAACCTGGGCATGTGCCCTGACCTGGAATCGAACCAGCAACCTTTAGGTGCATGAGATGATACCTAACCAACTGAGCCACACCAGCCAGGTTAATAAATCCGGGTTTTTAAATACCTTCTCCATAATATTGTGAGAAGGGGCAGGTCTGGGTTTTATGGAGCCTGAAGCCCTATAGCTTGATGGAATCCTACAATGAGGAGTCCCGAAGCCTCAGCTTCAAGGACAATATACCACTGCTTCCTGCACGGAAAGAAGCAGAAAATATCACATCCCCCTTGCCTTGCCTACTTGCAGGATAGATGTGGGTCCACAACTGAGACCTCACCAATCTAAGACCACACCCCAGCTGAGATTCAGAGGCTAGCAACCTCTAGAACCCCTTCTTGTGCCTGACAGCACCAGTGAGGGTTGCTCCCTCATTCCCAGAGGTAATAGGCATCGTAGTTCTAGTGGCAACCTTTAGTTTCCAGACCAACTCTCTGCTCCAGTGGAATTTGCTGTATTCTATTTAGTGGCCTCAAATCTGCTGCCTTGACCTTCCTAGAGGGTTTGTGAGCTCCCCTTCCCCCATTTAGTCATTTTCTGAGCTCAGTTCTAAGCCCTCTACACACCCAGCATCCTTTTAACAAGGCTTTGCTCCAGAGCAAGGTGTTGTGGTTTGCAGTTAGGAATCTTACTCTGCTCTCCTGTAGGGCCCAGCCTGAAAGGACTGAGGAAAGACAAAGCCTTCCCTCCCTACCCCCTTCCCCAAGCTCATAGCAAGCCTGATCCAGTTAGATTCGCCGGCACTGATCCTGCGGCCAACCTCTTGTTCCACCACACGCTCTACCTGGCTTGCCTCCCAGACCTTCCCAACCTTCTCTCCCAAGGGAGGAGAGAGATAAGGAAAAAGAAAGACCCTCAGCAGGAGCCAAGTTGTCTGAACTAGTCCCAGTGCCCAGAGGAAGTAGGGACACAAGCTTTGTTTTCCTTTTAAAAAATATTTTTATTGTTTATTTTAGAGAGAGAAGGGAGAGGGAGAGATAGAAACATCACCAGCTGCCTCCTGCATGCCTCCCACTGGGGATCGAGTGGGCCACCCGGGCATGTGCCCTGACCAGGAACCCAACTGTGACCTCCTGGTGCATGGGACAACACTCAATCCACTGAGCCACACTGGCTGGGCACAAGCTTTGTTTTCTATGAAGAATGTGCCTGATGGAAACCCAGCAGCAAAAAAAGGACTCCAAGGAAAGTCAAGAAGTGGCAATAAACAGGGAGTTGGGGGACGCAGTCCTTTCCTAATACAAGGGGGGATCCCCAAACTCCCGGCCCCTCCAGTAGCGGCCTGCGCCCTGTGTACCCCAGCCCTCTCCCCACCAGTTTTCTCCTGGCAC